CCCCCCCCCCCCCAAGGAGTCGCTGAGTGGGATCATAAGGACACGGGCCGCTCTTAGGCGGAGTGTATCGTAGACGGACTGTCGATGCCAACGCAACTCTTATCAAGAACTGGCGACGCTACTTTTTGTTTCCGGTGCGTGCGGAGAATCAAGAAATCTACGTTAACCTGCGCTTGTGGGTACATAACGCCAATTGAACGGGACCTGGATGAAGGCGGAAGGTCCCAGCCCAGCGCATTCACCTACCGTTATGTGCTGTGCCACGCAACCTGAATCCAGGTTTTCGAAGGAAACTCCCCTCCGGGACACATCAAGATAGAATCCGTCATAAAGGCGTTGACCACCTACGGGAGCGAGCAACTCACCGAAGAGCAAGCGCACGATCTAGTCAGCCAGCTCGAACCGGACCACAACGGCGTGGTAAACTATGTCGAGTACATCAACATGGTGCGTGCTGCGATGGACCGTGTTCGGTTACCGGCTGTGGACATCATGAACCTGCCCCGCCACCGAATACAGTAGTACCAACGACTGTGTATATATTTAACTATACGATAGGCCTCTTGTGTCATTTTTTTCGATCTGATGAGGTCTCTCGAACACTCTTGTCTGTTTGCCTGTATTTCTGTGGTTGGAAAATCCTGACATGAATCTTATTGCCGTTCTACGTTGGACCCTCGATAGATGATGAACGACTAGGCACTACGAGAGGGCAGGTGATTCTTGCCGCCTCCAGGCGAAGGGGCCGGGCAAGGACCGCATCAGCGCCCGCAGCAGAAACGCTGGTACTATACTGGCCCGGGGCACCGCGATCTCGAACGCGTCATACATCTGGAACGAGTCCGGGGACTGCACGACTAGCCTTTGCCTTCGGCCGGTCGGCAGCACTATAGTGGCAAGGCACATGAACAACGTTTCGGTGGCGCTGTCATCAAAAGACGATGCATACATTGTCTCGCTGGTGTGCAGCTTTTGTATCAGCGGTATCATAGGAATTCTCATGATGTTCTACCAAGGGTGTCCGATCAAAGTCGCCTGAGTCTTAATATGGGCAACTGCCCTTTGGACCTTCGGTTGTTTAGCGCTTGCAAAACGCCACAACGCCCTAGGGGCACCAATGAAGCATGTCTTTCGGTGTAGAACAACCTTTGACCCAAGGCATTGATGAAGAGTACCGTAAGAAGTGCGGCATTGCCCTCCGCTGCATTCAGAGATCATTCTGTTCACGACACTGCGCTGAGGCGGTTGCTAATAAGCTTGCGCACGCTACCAACGCCAAGCTTCTTCGCGTATTTTCTCGTCGAAAATACATACTATATTCTACTCCCTTTACACCAATGGCCCCATGATGTCAAGGAGCGCTTCTCTACCGTTTACCTCCCACTGGTGTGGCGACGGTAATCGTCGAAGTACATTGATCACACACGCGGCTATCGTTGTCACACAGGAACGGGATATCTCTCGCTGGTTCTTGAGGAGCCGCACAGATTTTTGTCGGGAAAAAAAATCCCTCCTCTCGGTGCGCGCATGGCACGCGCACCCAATGAACGGTTTCAACTCCGGGCGTGCAAACAGCGTCTCGCATCATGACGATGACACACCAAATATATAAAGAAATACGAAAATCTCTCAGAGGACCAGCACGCGATGGTCTGAGGCAAGCTGCGTTTGCCAATCGACTATGGGCGTGCGTGCAAACAACGACACTAGTACAAAACGAGCACACGCACGATCTTACTCACACTACTGCATATACCGTGATTGAATCCCACAAACAAGCCATTTGATAACCACAGATATTGTCAACTCCTCACCACTAACAACCACACATTGATGCCCTACCGGCTTGTGCCCACGAGGGACTTCCTGATTGACACCCCAACGCTTCAGTTACAACACCGCTGCGTCAAACAATTCTTGCACGTAAACATCCCTGGTCCCAAACACAATGAATATTAATGGCAGAGGGACGAAGCTCTTGGGCCGCTTTGTATGTAACTGCAATTTTGAACTTTCTCGAAAAATAGAAACATGACACAGAAAAGGTACTGATAGGCCGAGAACAGCTACCCTGGGTCGCTACCTGCAATTTCGTACATACCCGAGAAATAGAAACATGATATCAAAATATTGGAAGGCCGAGAATAGCGAGCATTCCATGGTCTACCGCATACGCTTTCGAAGGTAAAAAAAACTACTCTGATCACATGCTGTAAAGGCCGTCCGCCTGAGTCGACTTTCACTTCTTGTTCAACGCTCCCCTCAGCCAGTCGAGACCATCGTATACTCCCTCGCCCGTGACCGCACAGCAGCCCTGAATTTGTGGGCACGTACAGAAAGGAAGCGGCCGAGATGTGGGGAGTATTGCTCAGCATAGTGATACACTGCAGCCATATGTCGGTACCTCTCGTCTGGGGGCAGCCATTTTCTAGAATGGTATGATCACCCGCTCAGCACACTCATCCGCATTTTTTCTCTACCGCAGAGGTGACAACTTTGGGATGTGTCTCGTTCATCTGCGTGTCCAAACAGGACGGATGAATGAGGCCACGGGTGAGACTAGGCTGTACATAGAAGGAAAAGCTGTTTTCAAGCCATACTCAGCAGCACTTGCTGTCTTGTCAAGAAATCAGGACAGTGGCCGTTCAACAGGTGCACACCGAGCTCTACATAATCTCCAGAGTTGAATCGAACAGGAGAACAATGTCTTTGTACACGGGGTTCGAGAAGGGTACATAATAAACGATACAGAAGAGTTCATCTATTGCTTGCGCAGAGACGCATCAAAGATTTAGTATGCTCTGGGTAGGCTTACCTGCATGTACCAATTGCGCTTCATGAGCGGATTGCGTCCCACGCCGTCCAAGCCGAGCTTGCTGCGCATGACGCTAGGGCTGATTGCACCGGGAAGGTCCTGAGAGGAGGGGGGGAGAGGCACGGACGAGGAGAGTGAGGGCAGGTTGATCGATTGGTCTTGAAGCAAGGAAAAAACGGAATTGCTGCTTTTCGGGTCTGAAAAATCACCTTCCTTCAATTTTGTGCAAATGAGCGCTTGTTAAGGAGTACCAGCATCTGACACTTGTTTGCCATCAACTTGTGAGAGAACCGATGTGCACGAGGAAATGTACCGCCCAAAGCTAGGATCGCCTCCTACCCCAGTGTAACCAAGCAAGAATAGAACCTACAACCAACGCTTTCACCGCAATAGCAACTACCTGCTTGTTAAGGAAAATTAGGACCGTTTGGCAGCCATCCATGTTAGGGTCCTGCAGTATGTGGAACAACTCGTCCCTCGCCTCCTCGATGCGTTCATGGTCGTTAGAATCCACGACGAAGATCAAGGCGTCGGTGTTGATGAAATAGTGGTGCCAGAGCGGCCGTAGCTTGGTTTGGCCCCCGATATCCCTGGCAGAATATTCAACAGAAATGAGGGTGAGAGAAATTGGGAGGGTCAGGCGTGACGCACGGACAATTCGTGTTGGGCTTATTGCAAGAACAAGAATATCGGAATAAAGCACGCCGAATCTGGAAGCAATAAGTTTATGACGGCCCGAACTGCTTTGCAAAAACGTTCAGACAATTTCTAGCACCAACCTTGCCCCACTCCGCCATTTCTACGACGCATTTTAGGGTGAAGAACGGATAGGGTAAGGGAGGAATGGTAAAGGTAAGACCATGCTGTGCCGCACTCCTACTACGGCAACGGCAGTACGGACCGCAGGAATACGCAGTGCTGAGTGCTTTGCCGCGACATCGCCCCTCACCAGATAGTCATCATCATCCTGTTGTACTCGACCCGTTCGACGTTGAAGCCAATGGTGGGGATGGTGGTCACCACCTCATTCAAGTGAAGCCTGTACTGTTGACGTCGAGTACAATCATAGCAGAATGATATCGATTGTTATTTTTCCAGGTGGCAATGGCACGCCTCCAAAAAACAAGGTCAGAAAACGAGCACATACACGGTGTCCGGTTCTGTTGATTGCGTCGAACACGTTATTCAAGAGGAAAAATACCAAACCATGCGCCCTGGGGGTGAGCCCCGGCAGCTGATGAGTTCCTGGAGACCAAAGGGGCAGACTATCACGAGGTATCACCGCAGAAGGGACAGGAACTATGCAGACTGAACCACGGCCAATCTATTTTGGCTCGATGCTGTTGTGTGAGTATTCAATCGACTATTTCATTTCATGCCCAACAATACCATCCAGACATTCCCCGTATTTCTTCACTACAGCAATGGCGCCCCTCTTCTCCCCTCTACTGCTGAAAGATTGGAAAACTCACCAAAAGCGAAGTCTTGCCGGCAGCGTCCAAGCCGAGCAGAAGAAGGCGCTTCTCCTGGAGAAAAATCATGACAAACAAGACAAACACAGATGTGCGTGATGATGTATCACCTCAAAATAGCTTAGAAAGTCGGTCGGACTCTTGACATTATCCTACTTATCATGTGGTGTACATGCATCCCCAAGCTGCTGAACGCCCCGTTTCTACTTTCGATTCTCGCCTGTACAAGTTCATGCAATATGTTGTTTGTTGACGACAGAGCACAGGCGCACAAGGCATAGACCGGCAGCTCGCGGGGACAGAGACATTGCTCGAGGATTCAACCGCCATTCGAGCACTATCTACGTCGGCTATACTTTTCATCAGGAGGGTGGTTGTTGAACCACTCACTCTCTGTCGATTCTATCTGTACACACCTGGAGGCCGTTGAGGATGTTTGCGAGACGAGCGATGATCTGCCCCATGCTGTTGGCGAAGACGAATGTCAGGAAGGGGGTGGATTCGCTACTGCTGTGTAGTGTGGCGAACGTGCGCGGCAGACCACAGCAGCTGTTGAAGTGTACTGGTGCTCGTGTGTAGCTTATGGATGTGCTGGGGATGTTGCGGTTGTGTGTGGGAGGGTGGAAGATCATGTTGAGATGCTGGAAGCGAATGTGCAATTTGCGGCGCAATTGTCATTCGTTCGTCGATTTTGGCCAGTCAGATCGCGCCAGTTCAAACATCAAAACCATCTTTCAGCTCTTACTTTTCTCGCGGACCAATTACATCGGTACACCGCATTCAGATCGGCAACCAACTGTAAATTATGTGTCTGTGCTTCGTTCGCCGTACAGCTCGAGTGTAGCGCACGCTCGACACTACTAAAGCCCCGTCACGTCCCCTGTCCCACACAACACCGCATCGACACCCTCAAGACCTGCAGCAGTAATAGGAATTGCCTTCTTGACATCAGCTGCAAAATGAATGTCCTCTACCAAGGCCAACACCTCGTCAAGCAGCTCGGTGTGCTATTTCGGAACATCGTCTACCCAGCAAGCACGTCCCTCCTACCTCCTTACTCCGATCGGCCTGTCGCCGCCGCCCAGCCCTCCTCATCGCCGGGCCATCTTTTTCACCAGCGGCGACAGCAGCATCAACAAGAGCAGCAGCAACAACCGGCCCTCGACTCGTCGATGTCTGATCACCCGCCGTGTGGATCCCGCGTACAACCACTCTCGATAAAGACGAAGATCAGTGAACGCCTCGTGTCTCTTTCAAACATCGTCTGCCAGAAAAGCAAGCCCCTCTTACCTCTACACAGCAGCACTCCCAGCCACCCCTGCCCCACCTTCAGCCCATTCCCCGCGGTCACCGCGACCCCCGTCTTTTTCCCATCTCCATATGCCCATCATCGGGAGCTGGTCCAGCGGCAGGAGGAGCGATACCCCTTGTTCGACCGGCCGTTCCCGTTGGACCGGCTACCGGAGGATGTCCTACCGAGCGTGCTGGCGTTCTTGCCGGCAGGAGAGCTGTCCGGCATGCGAAGGGTGAGCCAGACGTTCCTTCAGGAGGTCGACCATCATGGCGAAGCCCTTTGGGATAGCCTTTGCCGTTGCGACTTCCCGTCCATGGCGTCGTCACCAACGGCAGCGGCAGGGGTTCGAGAAGATGAATATGCATAACTCTCCCGTCACCACCAGGTCAGTGCTTTAGGATTGTGTTGCGTACTCGGCAAATACCGCTTGTGCTCTTTTTCATCCATACTACTGTAGTAGCGCCGTTGTGTGGAGTTCGACGCTGTCGGCGCATTGACGATTCAGGTTTGGGGTGAAAACTGTGACATCGCGAAGGGTTTTGCCTCAACACTTGCTGCGTCATTTTTGGTCATATATTCAAACGATCTGTATGTTTCCCACGATAGTCTGCCCGGATAGGCCCAAAGTCGTCCTGAAGCTCTCTCTCTCCCTCTGGCACCAAAAGTACGTTGTCGACATCAGACCCCAAAAATGTTTTTTTGGCGCTTTTTTTTATTGTTGCTCGTACTAAAAGCCGGCGTTTTCCTCCGCTCGAGCGCAAAATAGTGTCGGACGAATGCGTGTCGTAGCCGCTCAGCAGTCCCTTCCAACACCACATGAATCGTTGAGCGACCGCTCATACTTCGGTCCAGACGTTACCCGAAAGCTCACACACGTGTACGACCATTCATCGGTTTAGATTCGCTTGTGACATTTTTCCGAAGAAAATTCCTAGCCTACATCTCGGCCTTCACACCCTCGTGCTTGAACATGGTCCGTTGATGGGGGTCCCTTGAGCAGCAATGGGTACCAACAAGCACCAACGCCACGTGCCGAGTACCTGGCATGGACGCATCAATTCCGGGCAGGTTACAGTCGTCGCCCTGTTCCTTTCGCGATTAACTCCTCTGCGCGTCTTCGTACGACCCCGCTCAAATCCCTCGCAGCAATACGTCAGCAACGTCATCACCGGGCGAATGACCAAGTGCTAAACCTCCGCTCCAACCGCCACCTCCGCAAGCGACTCTACAACTACACCTGGGGGAACAAAGACCCCCAACAGAGCAGCAGGACGATCAACATGACGAGCGGCAGGGGCACCACGGCCTCGGTCAGCGGCAGGATCGGCAGTACCAGCGGCAGCGCTCCAGGCTGGAGCAACGGGGGCAACGGCGGTGACGGCGCGGCGCCGTGATCGGCCTCCTGTCCGACCTCGTAACCGTTTCGGACCCAAGCATCGCCCGCGCCCTGTCCTCCAATGCCGCTTCGTCCTGTCCAGGGTAGTCGTTGTCAACGACAACGTCAGCTCCAGCATCCGTCGCAGTGGCCTGTACACCGAACGCGTTGAATTCTTGTCGCTCAGCGCGTTTCGCCAGGAAAACCCCTCCGTGCTGCCGCGGCCGCCGCCGACCGGCAGCAATGACACAGCTGCTGTCGCTACCGCTTCACGCTCAGGGGGGATGCGCACCGACGATGGTGGCGGTCGCCGGGAGGAGGTAGAGGCCGGTGCCAATCTGCTGCCTCTGGCGCCGGAGACGCCCGCCCCGGCTGGCTTCCTCGGGTACGCCGTACGGCTGTTGCAGCTGCGGCCTGGGCACGAGTCGCTACGGTGGACGGTGTTGTTGGCGGTCTTCAAGGACTTGGCGGTGTTCAAGACTTCCGAGCAGGTGGCGTTTGAGTGTGCATCATATTGTAGTTGTTGGAATTTTTTGTGGGCCACGACCCTGCCGCCCATGAGCGTAGGATAATGTTACGTTTTTCGATAGCGCCCGTTCTGGCGGACCGAGGCGTTCCACAAGGGTGACATGCACTCTCCTAGTTCTCCGCGCCTACGGTTGAATGAAGCGTCACATCTTGTAATTGTCCCCTATACAAGACTCGAAACGTTTTTCCCGTCTCTGCCCCCAACGATAAACTTCAGGCGGAGGTTGTGCGTGCTCGTATGGCAAACCAGCGGCGCTTCTACTGCGCGCTCGATCGCCCTCGGGGCCAAGGCCACCCGTCTCCTGCGGTCTTACGGGTGTTGCCGCATATCAGTCACTGGGGTTTTCAACAAGCACCTGTTCGCGTCGGCGGAGGTGGTGGTGGCAGAGGGGGGGAACATGCGGTGGGTTCCACTTCCTTTGGGGAGGAGGACGTTGATGCCGCCGTAGCAAGGCAGGAGAAGATCGCTTGTCTGGCCAGAAGCTCGTTGGAGGCCCTCAAGTGTGGCAGGCATATGTTATGAGAAAATAATGCGGATTGACCTTTATTTTGTGTCGAAGAAAAAGCTTGGAGGTTGACGTTGGCGCTGCATGTGGTTTTGGGTGGGGTGTTCTGACCTTGCTTAAGCATTCTTTTCTGAAAATAATGAAATAGTGTCGCCACACGCGGATCGGGGCGAATCGCTGGCGTCCACAGTCTGTAGTGAGGGGGGGGGGGTCACGAACACCTTGTCAGTGTTTGGGTGACCGCCCGAGCCGGCGCGACGGTGTTTTAGCTTGAGTACTCCTGCCACTCGCCGTTCTTCGGGCTTCAATAGAGTGAGGAGCCCGACATCGAACTACAGACCGATTCCGACGCATATTTAGTCCCCGCTTCTCTTTGTGCGGGGACTTTCGTTTGTATGTTTCTACGTTGTCAAGGACAGTGATAAGTAGCGGGATCAGAGGTTTGGGTGCATGTGCCCGCACGCAGAGAGAAGAGCAGCTTTTGTATACACGCGTCGAAGTAAATGGCATGACTTCATGTACAGGGTAGAGGTGTAGGTTAGCATACCAAGCGAAAGCGACATTTACCCGAAGGAGTAGAACGGATTCTTCTTTCCCTTCTGTTTCCTGGTCAGGTTTTCCCTTTCACCCCACCTCTCCGCGTACACAGAATTAGTTGCTTTCCACAAAAACAGAGGACACACATTTGCACTCTCGCGCATGTTAACGGAAGCGGCGAGAACGGAAAACTGTTAGCACCGAGATGCATCGGCAATGCAAACCAAGTCTTCCTGGGCTACTCCTGCGCAACGAGTTCTTTGGACTGTCCTGTGCCGCAGGCCACCTCAATCGGCGCAGGAGGCTGCACTTCAAACGTTGTTCTTACAAACCATCACAAAAAATACTACACGTTCGGGATAGTACCCGGTATTGATGTGTTTTACACAGGATTGAGGTAACCCTGCTGGACGTTATTTACGTTCCACACAACGAACATGACTTCTTACGTTTTTCAACAAAGGGCATACTCAATCGCCTCCTCTTCCCCCCAAGTTGCTGGTTGGATGTCTAACACACACCCCAGCTCCTATCTCAACTGAAGATCAAAATGAATGAATTCAGGGTGTGCCTTCATGAGAGTGGACGGGGCGACAAAAATAATCTGAATGGTACCGCCCATGTTGGTGATGATGGCTGTGCTGGCTTCTACTGCTTTCATGCCTACTATCCCTGTCATTTGGGGAATGGCGATGTGATTCCGACCCTGGTAACAAGGGAGGGCAGATTCCTCTCTGAAGCTCCTCGAGAAGGGCTTCCGCCGTCTCCGCTCTCTGCCTGGAGCTTTTCAGTCCCTCTGTCAGCCGCTCGATCGCCTGTTCGATGTTTTTCATGTGCGTGAGTGTGGAAAGAACAGTTTCACAGGCAAAGTTCTTGTAAGCGCCAAACAACCACGTGTTGTTGTCAGAGCTTTCGGTGTCGCCCGTTCCTCAATGTTGAAACATTTAGCACCGTTTCGATGTGTTATTGGTGCGTGCCGTCCTTTGAAAGCTTTGGGTGCTACACGACACGACTCGAACACAGAGCACGTTCGTCCCACCGAAATTAATGCGGAGCATGTCACACTGACGAACATATACCTCCTCGGAACAAAAGCAACACATCCTCCTTGCATTTGTGATTCGCGTTCGGAACAAGTATGTACGATACGCGCCTGGTCTTTGACGCCGACGATTGATCGTACGCGCTCATCTACCGTCCGGAGCTCCTCCTTCCACTGAACCGCACGAAACGAATCGAGAAGAAGGAACGGGCAGCGATCCGTCCGCGTCAATCGAAAGCCGCATCCCAAGGATCGTGTATCGTAGCACCATCGGCTCGAAGAATGTTGCTGGACCGACGAAAGCGCCCTTCTTCGTCTTACACCCTACCTTGAAGTACATGGAAGAACACGCACCAGCTACAACCACATGACGCAGGCTCAAAACAAAGCATCGTGTGCGTGTGAACCACGCACGCTGTTTGCAATTTAACGTGCTCCCTATTGATCGAGTGATTCAGTCGACCAGCAGCATTAACATCGAACTGCTACACCGTGTGGTAGCAAGTTACACCTGCGCCTTGACTGTGAGCAGCTCCGACGCGTGAGCTTCTCTCTCCTTTTCGTGCGAGGCTTTGTCTTCTTCTAGGCGGCGGGCCAATCGCCGGGCTCGCTTCTCCAGATCTTCCTTCAGCTCTTTCACCGCCGCGTTCTGGGTCTGCATGGAATTCGTCGTTATGTGCGCGGGGCGGTGGCACGACGCCACAAAGAAAGAGTCGAAGCCTGACACCCAGGCGCAGATAGTTTGTCGGTGATCGTGCTCGTCTTGAAAGGAACGGGAGAAGACCATCTGCGCCAACATGCGTACCGTGAAGGATGATCGTTGCCTGATCGACCAGCTTTCCAGAGAAGCAGCAAGCAAAGGCTGGCGTGCCGAATTCATTCGGACTTGGAGCACGATTCAAGCATCGGTCTATTCGTAACTCGTCCTGCCGGAGTGGCGCCGAGGTGACAACGATGCTCAGGTGTCGAAAGATAGAGTTGATGATAATTCATACGAATGTCATCCTGCAAAAGACCTTTGCGCGTATTCACCTGCGACAGATGTTCCATCCTCCGGTTTCGCTCCGCCGCTTCCGCTAGCTGAGCCTCCAAGCGACGGGTCGTGGCCTCTGCGCGTTTACAGCAGGCGAGATCGCGTGTGTGTCGAGACAAAGAAACACCGTTGTGTACTTTTTTTCACACCCCCAAGCATGGCGTGCTCCGCCCCGGCTTTCTAGGGATGCAAGGTCAATGGTCTAACATCCACGGCATGCACGTCTATGAGTACACCCCCCCCCGAGCGCTGTGTTTCCCGGATACCACGGACTTTAACCCCATTTTGTACGGTGGCAAGCATGCAGGTTCGATGCATGCGCTCCCCCCCCCCAAACACACGTGTAGCGTCTCTGGTCAAAGGTAAATCATTTAACGAAGAGGGCGTAGTGTGCTGCTGTTTCTCACCCAATCGAAATGCCTTTTTTTGAGAGGTGGACAACAACGCGGCGGATTCCTCGCTCTTCTCCAGCGCAGCGGTCATTCGATCAGCATACGCCGCCTCGAGTGTTTCTTTCACGCTGCTTGCGTGTTGCTCCGCGTCTCGGCGCAGGCGAGCTGTCGTCCTAAGTTTTCGGTTTGGGGAAAATCGTTCGGACGTCGTCGTTGAGGCAGGCACGACAAACGTGTCGAAACGCGGGTGTTTTGAGCTACCGAAAACTGAAGGCTTGTGGGTGGAAGCCCGGCAATTGGTGTTCCGGGCACCAGCTTCTCAACGGCTCTTCATAGGACGCAGACAGTAGAACGGCACCCCCCTGGACAACTGCATGCATTTCATTCATCCCCAGCTATGTCGAAAGTATTTTTTTGAGGTCACATCCAATCTGCGTCCGTACCGCTTTCGACAACGCCATTCTCCACCTGGCAATCTCCCGCTTTGCCGCCGCCGCCGACTCATCCCGGTGCGCCTTTGCCCACAGCTCCTGCGCCTGCAATCAACGCGTACCGGCCGTACACAGGGTCGAGGGTGCTTTGCAAGTGCTACATAGTGCTTGAGGAGTCAGGAGCCCACGATCTGCCGTGTTTCTTCGTACCCAGCGACCAGTGCTTAGCTACTTGAGCAGCAGGACCCCCAACCCCACAACGTCCCACTCCCAAAATATTCGGGGTGGTTGCAATTGTGGAAAAATGAAAGGCAAAGGAAGTGTCCCTCTGCTTCGTTGGAATCTGTGTGCATCATGTTTCGCCGATCACCTCTTGGGCCGCCCGGAGCTGTGCCTTCGAAGCTTCCCGCTCCTCCACCACGGCGGCGCGGGTGCGCTCTCGCTCTTCCTCTAGCCGTTCCTTCAGGTTCGCCACGCTACGCGCGTGCTGCCTCTCCCGGTCACGCCGGCTGTCGTTCAGCTTCGAGACCTCTTGCTTGTGGAGTTCCCAGAGAAGATTGGCGTGTGCAACCCACTGCACGGGTGCGAAGATCGAGGACGGTACTATGTTGCAGCCAGAGGGCGACAATGGCTGATTTGACGCAGACTGATTGTCGCCGTTTGCATGTGCGTTAAGTCGCGCATCACTAGCGTAGATAGCAATAATACCAGATCCGCATCGACTACTACTAGCTTCGCCTAGGCCAACCGAGCGCGGAGAACTTTCTAAGTCACTTGCTTTATCACCTCTCGAAACACGATCTCCGCCTCTTCTAGCCAGGCCTTCCTCCGCCGTCGCAGCCGAATCGCCTCCTCCACCAGCTGGTTTTCCCTGATACAACCACAAACGTGCACGCATTGGTCGAAGGAGCCCGAGCACTCGAAAAACGTGTGCCCGTGCGTTTTTGTCGCGCCAGAAGACATCAATATACAGACTTTCTTCACTAGTTGGGCACATAGCGCGGTCGATGCTGCCGCAGAGGTAGTTGAAGAAGCACAAAGGCGCCCGTACCTGCATGCACAGGGGTTGTCAGAGATTCGACACAGTCGGCAAGTCCGCCAAACACCAAGGTCTTCAAATTCATTACCGTACGAAGAAAGGGTTGCCAAGCGCCGGGGGCTGACAGAAAAACTTGCGAGCCCCATTTTACACCGTTACCCCTCGTGTTGTCGCCTTGTACTCACCGTGGAGACGCGCTGGTCTACTCGGCCCCTACTGGTGGTGGACGTTCGCAGATTCGGACTACAGTATGTACCCTAGATTACAGTTATATGCAGCTTTGCCTTTCAAACTGCAAAGCTTTGTTTTCTACTACTGCTGTGTGTGTCATTTCCCATTTTTGCTGGCGCCCAGCCTACACCCCCTTTCCTGTAGTCTAAATGTTCGCTGTGCATGCCTTGAACCATGTACGCGAGAAGGACCAAGCGTGGTGCAGTCGCTCTTACCTACCATCAAAGTGCTCGCGAACAACAGGCAGGTTCTCTCCCGCGTGACCACGAATTGCGGAGTAAAAACCTGTGTTGAACCTCTTTCCCCGACACTACATCCGCTCGGTTGAATTAGTTCGGAACCAATGCCGTCTCCTGGCGAGCAGCCGACCACGGCCTACGGGCTTACGGGACTAAATTTCTTACCTGCCCGGCTTAAGACCTGCCGTACGTATGCTCACGACAAGCGCCTGCTCCAGCGCATCGACATCGTTCGTCGGCGGGATGTCTCTTGGTGGCGCAGGCGGGTCCCTGAGACCGTTAACCACAGCAGTGGCCCTCCTCTCCACAGATGCCCTAGCACTAGTCCGCTCATTACGGGTGCCCTGCGCTAGTGGACCACCACTACTGCTTCGCACTCGGCTTCTCGGTGCCGGCCCGAATCCCCCAGCACTGGAGGGCCTACTCGTGGCCCACATGACACGACGTGAACGAAGATATGATATCCTTGTAGCTGTTTTTGGCGGGGCGCCGTCGATTGGCGAACCTGAATATATGGGTATGCGGGCTATCCCAGCATTGGGTGCCCCCCCGTCGCATTTGCCGCTTGCAGCTTGACACTCCGTCGGATAGATAGTAAGAGCTACACACGAATGGGCGACACGCCGCAAGTAGACCGAGAGGTGGAGCATCTGAGGGTCGTCATCACCAGATTAGGCTCTGCTCAGCCGGACGGGAAAAGTGAGAACGCTGCCGATTGATTGCCACGTAGAAGATCATCCACACCGCAGCCTACAGCAGTACCGTTGTAAGTAGCGGACCTCCATCCGGTGTAGTTTCACGGGAATTCTTACATAGTGCTGTACATAGTGCTGCTCGCAGCGTTATACACGTAGAGGATAGGGCAGCAGCAGTGCTCGTAAATAGTAAAGACCGGCGCAACTCACGCAGTTCTTTGGTGGTACAACATGCTATTGTCCAAGAGGCGCTCATGATGTGCCCCAAAACATTGCATGTAGATTTTGCCGAACCGTCACACAATACTGCTGTATCCAGCAACTTGATCAGCCGTGGCGTGCTCCTATGCAACCATGTGTCTGTAGCATCCATCCGAATCAACGGTTGTGTGGACGCATCTAGCGTTGATTCAGCAACATGTCACATAGTTTGGTTCACAACAAAGTCCCAGCAATATCTGCACATGAAGTTGTTGAGAGAGATACCAACCACGGTTTTCACTTCCTGTTTTCTTAGACGGCACGGAACAAGGATCACAGCCTTGAATTGTCTCAATCCGGAGACCAGCAGGCTATTTTAGTATAAAGCTCTGTACGTGTATCCTATCGGATTTAGCATTGTGCCCTTGGGCTGCGCCCGATTTCTCACCTCATATTCCAGAGACTCATCCCCCCCAGTCATGAGACCAATTCCTTCGTGTCCCAGATGAAAGCTTCTCCCCCGACCTTCAACATGGAAGTCTCCCGCCTGACAACATCAGCCGCCCTCGTCCTGACAAACGACGACTGTTGTTCATCAACACAACAGCACTCCAAATTTGTGTGTATCGTGTAATTTAATGGCTTGGTTGGTCGCTCCGTGGTTGGGACACGCCTGGCCGGCGTACGTAACGGCCTGCGCCCTACTCTGTCCAGCTATACTAGGCGTCCACAGACTGAAACAAACCCGATCAACGTTCACATCCGCATCTGCAGTCCACACGTTTCCGCTGTGTACGAACTTTTGCCTCCAGTAAGTAGTTGCGCCAATCTCTTGAGCCAAACGCGTCTCTTTCCGATATCTCGCCCCCCCCTCATCGTCCGGACACATATACGCATTGAGCGAGGATAGACACATACTGAACCTCACAGGTGATCTGTAATGGAGATTGCCGGACACATAGACGTGTTGAGTAAGGATAGCTGCATACTGAAACCTCACAGATGGATTGGTTTTTGAGTTTGCCAGACACGTAGACGCGTTGAGTGGGGATAGCTGCATACTGAAACCCCACCGGTTGAGTGATGTTGGATAGTGTTAGACACATAGACGCTTTGAGCGAGGATAGACACATACTGAAACCTCACAGGTGATTTGTATTGGAGATTGCCTGACACATAGACGTGTT